GACTGTGCCACCCAGGCGCCCCGACTTACTGTCCTCTTAATCTCTTAGCTCCTTCCAGAACAAGGGAGCCAGTCCAGGGGCTCTGGGAGCAACATACCCTGGTCCCAACTGCCTCCATCAGGCTTTGGGGAGTGACCACAGTTTCTATGACGTCAGCTGGACTAAGTCCCCAGGAATAGTTTTTCCCGTTTGGAAACCTGTCCTCCCACCCCCGGGCTTTGAACGTCCAAAGTGCTCCCTCCGGGGCCTCACCCTTTATCCGAGATTGTCTGACACTAACCTGGTTGGAACCTTTGATGAAGCCGGTTATGGAGCTGCTCAAGGTCAGGTGCCTGATCTGAAAGGACATGGGAGAAAGTTTCATCACAGCCTGCCAAGGGCCCATTGGGAAATAACTTGCCCTACGGGCTTACGGGCAGCATGGCAACGTGACCCACCTAGGAAGCGGGCACTGCCCCTCTTTCTGGTCCATATCGCCATCTTTGAATGAAAAGCGTTTAAGTTTTATTTTTATTTTTATTTATTTTTAGGGAGAGAGCACGAATGGGGGGAGGGGCAGCGGGAGAGAGAGAGAGAGAGAGAGAGAGAGAGAGAGAGAGAGAGAGAATCTTAAGCAGGCTCCATGCTCTGCAAGGAGCCCGACACAGGCCTCGATCCTACGACCCTGGGATCATGACCTGAGCTGAAATCAAGAGTTGGATGCTCAGCTGACTGAGCCACCCACGTGCCCCAAAGCATTTAAATTTTCAGTGAAAAGGATGCTCATTAGAATGGCCATCGTAAAAAACAAAAAAAACCAACTCGGTTAATCATAAGTGTTGGCAAAGAGGTGGAGAATTTAGAACCCTCCTCCGCTCTTCATGAGAGCTCTAAAATGGCATGGACACTTGGGAAAATGGTCTGGCAACTCTTCAAAAGGTTACATACAGAGTTAACAAATGGCTCACCAATTCTACTCCTAGGTGTAGACCCAAGAGAACTGGAAACATGTCCTTACAAAACTTTGTACAGGAATGTTCACAGAAGCATTATTCATAATAGCCAAAAATGGAAACAACTCAAATGCCCATCAACTGATGACTAGACAAATAAAATGTGCTTTATTCACACAATGGAATATTATTTGCCCCGTTAAAAGGAGCAAAGCACTGATCTGTCATGCTAAGTAAAAGAAAGCAAACACAAAAGACCATCTATTGTATGATTCCATTTATGTGAAATGTCCAGAACAGGCAAATCTGTACAGACAGAAAGTAGATGAGTGTTTATCTACCATTTGGGAGGTTGGGGGGTAGGAACTGGGGTGATCATTAATGCATATGAGGTTTCTTTTGGGGGTGATGAAGTTCTCTACAACTGATTGTAGTCACGATTGCCTGTGTGAGTATACTAAAAACCATTCACCTGAACACTTTAGATGGGGGAACTATATGCTATTGTTATTTTTTTAAAAAATTTTTAAACATTTATTTATTTTTGAGACACAGAGAGAGACAGAGCACAAGTGAGGGAGGGGCAGAGAGAAGGGGGGGACACAGAATCTGAAGCAGGCTCCAGGCTCTGAGCTGTCAGCACAGAGCCCGACGCGGGGCTCGAACCCATAAACCGTGAGATCATGACCTGAGCCGAAGTCGGACGTTTAACCAGCTGAGCCACCCAGGCGCCCCACTATTAGGTTGTTATTTTTCAAATGAGAACAGAATATGCCACTCTGCTTAAATCCCTACAGTGGTTGCCTTATCATCATAGCGCGGGTACACTGTCCTCACCCAGGCTTTCAAGATCCTGGGTTGTCTAGCTGCTGGCTCTCCTTCTGATCACACCTCTGCATCCCAGGTTCTGGATCATTCTAAGCCACCCGGTTTGTTCCTGCCTTGGAGCCATTGCACTCGGCTTTTCCTTCTTCCGGAAGGAATTTTTCATTTCGCTTGAGTACACACCGTGCTGATCGGGATTGCCAAATGGTAAGCTAGACGGGTGTTTATAAGATACTGATGTATCGTTTTCCAAAGTGGTTGGCTAAGTGATCATTTCCAGTAGCCATCTGTGAGGCTTCCAGTTGCCCTAGAGTCTGGCCAACACTTCACGTTGGCCTCTGTTTAACTTTGCTAGCCCAGGGGGTTCGTATCACCCTGAGATTTCAGTTTGTATTTCCCTGATGGCTTGTAATGTTGAGCATCTTTTTATGTGCCTAATGGTCATCTGTAGGTCTATTTTTTTTTTTTTTTTTTTTTTTTTTTGGTGAAGTGTCTTGAAATATTTTGCCTATTTTGAAATCGGGGTGTGTAACTTCGTATTATTGAGTCGTAATAGATTTTAGAATAGAGATACGAGTTCTTTGTCAGATATAGTTTTGAAGATATTTTTCCCGGATTATGTTAAATTTATATTTCAAATGCTCATCTTAGGAAAGGAGAAAGGTGTAAAACCAATGATTTCTAGCTTAAGAAGCTAGGAAAAAAACAAAACAAAACAAAACAAAAAAACCAGAGACGAATAAGCCCAAAGTAAGTAGAAAGAAGGAAATAATAAGAACAGAGGGGCTTCCCCGGGGAAGGTGGAGCAGACCTAGTTTTCTCTACTCTTCCTGCGGAGGACGATTGGGAACGCTGTACCCAAGAATACTTCAGAGAGTGGAGAGGCGAAGGCGGGGACTTGGGACCCAAGGAACAACCTGGTGATGGGTTTTCTTTCTGCCTACTCTATCTCAGGCTTGGAAGCCGCAGGCAACCTGGAAATGTCAGCAGGGGCTGCCAAAGAGCCCTGACGAAAGCGAGCGCTCTGTAGCCAAAGGGCCAGGAAAAGTTCAGCCAAGAGAGACCACTTTTAGACAGAACCTTCTCTACTCCAGCTGAACACCATGGGGAAAACATGGGAGCTCGCTCCCCCCAGCACAGGCTGAGTGAGGAGCCCCGACTTCGATCCTCACCGGGCTACGACCCTGTGTGCCAGCTTCCTTCCCAGGGTGGTGTCAGAGGAAGTGGAGGAGGGGGCTGGGACTTGTGTGCTCCCTGGTTAGTAAGGAGCCTCCTCTCCTGGTACCCCCTTTCCGTGTTTGCTGGTTTTGTTAGAAGGGTGGAAAGACAAGCGATAGCCTGGGAGGAAGGGTTTGCAAACCGCCTATCGTATCCGGCGTATATAAATCACTCTCAAACCTCTAAGACCACAAGGCCATGTGTCTACACCTCTATCCGAAGGGCTAAAACAAAAAAGTAGGGACAACACCAAATGCTGGCAAAGATGTGGAAAAAACTGGATCACGGATTCATTGCCAGTGGAAATGTAAAATGATGCAAACACTCTGGGAAACAGTTTCGCAGTTTTCTTTAAAAGCCAAGGAGGCAACTACCGTATCACTCAGCGGTTGTGCGCCCGTGCATTTATCCAGGAGGAAGGAAACGATTCCTTCCTCCAGGCTCCGATCTCCAGACGGCTCACCCACCCTGGGGGCAAGTAGAAACTAAATCAACAGCGGAGACCCCCGCTCAGCGCTTGCTCTGTGCCAGGCGTCGTGCTAGGCGTCAGCGGGCCATCTCCCTCAACCTTCCCAACAGACCTCTTGGCTGGTAGAGGCCGCGATCATCATCCGAGGCTCCAAGGCCGTTGCTCATGGCCACGCGGCTGGACTGTGCAGAGCCCGGATTCAAACCCAGGGGGACGCTGACAAGCGCTTTCATCCTCACCTGGTCATTACCAACCGTTTAACGGGGGCGGTAAAAAGCGTGGAAAAGGTGTGGCCGCGGCGGCCGCGGGTTAGACCCGAGGCCACGCTGCCCGGAGGGCCGGAGTCTGGTTCCCAGTTCCTGGGCCTGACTTCCCTTAACTTTGCCGGGCCTCTCGCCCCCAGGCCCAGGGGCGCAGGCACCACCCTGCAGGGGCAGGAGAAGGCGGGCCCCCGAGCGCAGTCCCCTCCCCGAGCCCTCCCCCGGGCTTTAAGCCGGAGCAGGGGAGCGGGGCGCGGGCAGTCCCGGGCTGGCTCGGTCCGCCCGGCGATCGCGCGGATATGGCGGCGCTGGCGACCGTGGCCAAGAAGGTGTGGAGCGCGCGGCGGCTGCTGGTGCTGCTCTTGGCGCCGCTCGCGCTGCTGCCGGTGGTCTTCGCCCTCCCGCCCAAGGTAACGCCTCGTCCGCCGGGCGCCCCCCGTCCCGCGCGCCCGCCGGCCCGCCCCCGAGGTCCCAGACCTGACCGATTTCACCAGAACCCCCCACCCCCACCCCTCGACCCTCTGCCCCTGTGCCCTGCCCCCTCCGGCCCTTTCCCGGCCGCGCCTTGGAGCCGGAGTCCGGCCCAGCCTTCGGGATGGTTCCCCCGTCTGCCGGAGCGAGTTCTCTTTGCTGGGCTCGGCGCGCGGGGCGCCGGGTTGAACGCTTCCCTAGATGATCCCAATGCCAAGCTGAAGGGCCTGGGGCAAGTCACTTAGCTCCGCTGGACTTCGGTTTGCCCAGATGTAACAGTGGAGGCAGCGACGGCGTTGGGGCAGATATTAAATAGGGCAATCTATGTACCTCTCTTCGAACTGAGCCTGGCCCACAGGAAGTGCCCGCTGCCCCACTGGCTGGTCTGATGCCAGGCCCCTTACCTGCTGCGAGCAGGCCGAGATTGGAAGAACCCCCTGGAGCCGGGCGCTAAGCTTTTAAGGGGGCGCTAAGCTTTGCCTTAAAGCGCGTCGTTTTATGTCATCCTTTCAGTGCCCCTCAGGGGGTGAGGATTATTTATCTCCTTTTCTAGAGAAGAAAAGTGAGGCTCAGAGAGAGGAAGTGACTTGGTCAGGGTCACATGGCTAGCAGCTGAGCAGGGATCCATTCCCTGGCTTGTCAGAAGCCAGCACTCGAGCGGTTTCTCCGCTCTCAAAGAAAGCAATCCCTCGACCAAAGGCTGCAGATTGAGGTCAGGAATGTCATGATGAAAGTCAACACCAATGGGGGCTGGGCGAAGATGGGTGTCACAGGTCCCTATTGCGCCCCTCACTGGTACCCAGCCCTTCTGGGGCGTCACGGGAGGGCATAGGACAAGGCTCCTACCTCCAGGAAGTTGTTTCACTATCTCTCAACGTGAGGCTAAATGTTCATAAAAAATAAAAGCAGAGAGAGGGTGTCATTTAGAGGTACATTACCCAGCACCCGCCAGCAGAGACCAGGGGAGCTGGGAGAGGTATTCGGAGAGGGCTGCCTGGAGGAAGGGGTCCTCCTTGGGCACAGGGAGTGAGGAGGTGATACCAGCTGGTGCCAGAGAGACCCAGAGCTAATGTACAAACGTGGTCTTCAGTGTGGAATTACCTAAACGCTTCGACTTTTTTGACATAGAAGAGAGAAAGACAACAAATGCCCGGATAAGGATTACGTCACTTTCAAAAACCGTCCCATTCCCGGCCAGGCGCTGACCTCAGGATCTTAGCCCAACCCCCTTTCTTCTTTGGGTCTCACTTTCCTTGTCTGTAAAATGGGGCCCTCGTGGTGCTGGCTTCTGAGAATTGATGTGCAAGGTTGAGCGAGGAAGTTGCCTCACTTTATGGGGCATGATTAGGGGAAGGACGGATGGGGTCTGTGATGTCCCAGGTGGAGTCCCAGGGAAGAAAAGACAGAAACACCCAGGGTCTTTCTCCTCAGGAGGGGGTTCTGCAGGCTTCTGTCTGCTCTGCGCTCTAGCAACATCCATGAACTCAGGGACAGATCCAAGGGTTATGGGGCCTGAAGCATACAGTATTTGAGAAGTGCCTTTTAAGAAAAAGCACACAGATTTACAAAGAGAAAATTCAGTATAGGGCTGGGGAGGGGCTCAGAAGCTTAAGCTCCATAAGCTTCGCGGTGAATCCACTTCCATGGGAATCCTAACGTGCACAGGTGCAGAGAGCCTGTAACCTTCTGCAGGGGTGGTAGGCCCAGTAAGTAAGGTGTTGTGTTGAGTGCTTAACGCTCAGTATGTGCCAAGCGCCGTGCAAAGAGCTTCTCGGGCATCGTCCTATATAATGTGCACGCACCCAGGGAGACAGTTACTATTAGCATCCCTACTGGCCAGCTGAGGAAATGGACCTCAGCAAGGTTAGGTGACCTGCCCGAGGTCACACAGCCTGTACAGAGCCACTTCTCCTCATTGCACGGTATAGTCTTTCTTCAGTTGTGATTGAATCAGAGTCTTTCGTGTTCCCCGCAGATCCTGGTGGGGACGCTTTGTGTGGCCTGAGATGTCACTGCCTCTTTAAGTGGCTGATAAATGAGGGCCTCCCCGGAGGCAGGTCTGGCTTTTTGGGGGGGGGGCGTCTTAGCTTCCCTCAAAGATCTGTATCCCATACTCAAAGCCTCACCCTTGATAACGATATACTTACTTACTTATCATTATTTTATTCTTGGCTAGTAACTGACATGTTTCTCAACCTGCTGTGCAATGTGAATTACACATCCTTAGAGAACATTGAACAGAGAACATTGCCGTTTTTATCGATCTGGGGCAGACATTTAAAGCAAAGAGTGGGTGTGCTAGGCAAACACAGCTTCCAGACAATTTCCGTAGTAATCTTAACCAGTTTCAACCCTGTGCTAACCTCCCCAAACAAAGCCTGGGCAGGGGGCGGCTAACAAAAACTTTCTGTTTGCTGTGCAAATGTAGCTTCGAGGCAAGTGTCCTTGGTGTCCACTCCCACTCCCAACGTCACATTGCCACTTCTGAGCCTCCGTCCCATGGAAATTCTGGAACCAGCACCAGTGCAGGTTATATTGTACACATGGGTTCCCCCCAAACTTTGCAGATATCAGATCAGGAAAAACAATGGAGATGCTTGGGCATTGGCCATCTCCCCCTCATTGGGTCCTGATGATGGCTCCCAGCCACCACTCCTCTGATGTTCTGGGAGTCTGTGTGGTCGACAGGGTTGGCCCTCAGGCACCTGTCCCCCCCGGCGGCTGGTGAGCCGGTCTGCGGGGAGGTCAGGGTTAATCTGAAGAGCGGATGGGAGGGGGGGGGGAACAATTCTTACATTATGTCCTCCTGGCTTGGAACGGAATGCTGTCAGCAGGGATGAAAGGAGTGGGATGCCCTTCTGGAATGCAGTGGTTGCAATTTCCAGTTCCACTGGAGATCCTGGCTCTTGCTACAACAGGGCTGGAGACTTAGGAGGTCAGGATGCTGCTGGAGGGACCACCCCAAAATCTTCCAAGAGTGGCCATTCCGGGAGAGGGAAGCTTAGGGACTGGCCTTGGGCGGCCAGTGGGGACAGATGAAGCTGTTAAAGCAGCTGGCAAGGGAGTGCTAGCCCCATGTGTTTGCAGGGAAGTCTTGCCCCCTTTCCTACCTGACGACCCACACCCACCGAAAGCAAATGTAGCCAGATTGACCAGGTGGCCAGGATGAGCTCTTGTAGTGGGTACTCACAGGTGACTCTTTCTAAGGACGCTTTGACGAGGAGGAGTCTGGGGATATTCTAGGCAGGACTGCTACAAGCTGTGTTGTCGCACAGGCTGTGCACTGCGCAAGGGGCCTCGGGTTGGCAGTGAGATTGAACCACCCTGCACTTTACCTGCCAAGCGATGTATCCTGGTGCAGTGCTAGATCTGCCTGAGGAAGAGCTCCTCCCCGTCCTAATTTGCACATCCCAATTTGCACAAAGGTATCAAGTCTGGCTAGCAGCAGACTTGTTCTGAGATGGTGGAATTTTTGTTTGTTTGTTTGTTTGAGATGGTGGAATTTTTTTAGGCAACGGTAGTGCACCTGTAAGGTCAGAGGCCCTTTGGCATTTTCCTAATTCTTGTGGGTGGCATTTAGGTGGGTGATGAGGAAAAATGGTCATTTCATTCCCGGTTTGGAGTCTTGGGAATCAGAACTGGATTCCCATTCCACATGCTTGCTCTGTGACCCTGGGCAAGTCATTTGACTTCTCTGGGCTTCATTGTCTTCACTGACAGTGTGGCCACGAGACCACCGTCCTCCCTGGTTATTATTTGGGCCCAGTGAAATCATATACTGTGCGTGTGCCCTTACTTCCTACTTTTAAATTCAGTGCTCAAGGCATGACTCACCTCTCCCGTGCTTTAGCTGGAGAAACGGACACCCAGAGAAGTCAAATGATGGACAGAGCACCAGCCTAACCGCCGAGAAGACCTGCCTTTGGGTCTTGGCTCTGAAACTCTGAGACTGGAGGCTTTGCATCTCTGAGCCTTGGTTCCCTCATTTGTGAAGTGAGGACTCACACCCTTCCCAAGGGCTTTACAAGACTTAATTAAGAGAACATACAGAAATTGTCCCGTGGGGCACCACACGTAGTGTGGTTTCTAATAACTGTCAAAGCGTTTCCCCACTTATCCTTTGCTGACTTACACGCCTTTCAAATTTTGGTGTATTTACTCTTTCCATCGCCTTAAGAAGAGGGAGTAATGATGATCCCCATTAGTACAGATGAGGAGAACAAAGCACAGAGAAGTTAGGTAATGTTCCTGAGGTCGCACAGCTACTGAACATTATTTTGGTCACTTCTCTTGGTCCTGGGTCTTGGAAGATAGGATGGCCGGGGTTCTTAGAGACCCTGACTCTTCCCTTAACAGGGGCTTCCCAGAAAACCCCACAGACCCCGCCCTGTGGGTCGAGAAAGTTCTCGGGCCAGATACTGCCCTGCTGCTTTTAACTTGTATCCTCTCATTGAACCCAGAGGGCTTGGACAGGGAACCCCCAAATGGACTAAGGTTTGATTTAGCTTCCGTCATCCAAATACCACCCACAACATTTTTGCCAGATCCCCTTTACCCCGCTCAGTATTACTATACTCCTGTCACCACCCCCTTCTTTCTTACATTACTACTGCCTTACTCCCCCTCCCCTCCTTTTCAAAAAACTTCTATACAATGACTTAAAAAGGAAATTTAATGCCAAGACCATGCATGGGAAAACCAGGATCACAAATGACTAATAGAAGAAAGGTAGCAATAAATACCTCTGCAGTGTTGGTGAATCTGGCTCGAAGCTGAGGGCCTGAGACCCGCCCTCTCTGTGTCGCATAGGGAGGCAAGCGGTCAAGGGAGGTGGTAAAGACAAGTCAGTACCAAACTGAGACTCTGTTTTGGAAGGAGCGAGAGGGAGGAAAGAATCCGAAGAGTGTCTTCACCCCGCTGAAATGGTTCCCCACCTGAT